GGATGATCTGACCCAGTGGTTTCATGTAGATGTTAAAAAGGAGCGGGGAAAGTACCGAACCCTGCGGCACCCCACAAAGGAGGGGCCACGGGCTGGACCTCTCGCTCCCTATCAACACCGATTGGGACCCGCCTTGCGAGGAAGGAGGCGAACCAGCACAAAACTGTTCCACCCACCCCCAACTCCCCAAGCTGACCCAAAAGGATACCATGGTCGCAAACCCCATCCCATTCTAGCACTGGAGATGTGACCTAGACAGGTAATGAAATGTTTGCAAGAAAACAGCCAAGCTCAGAGAACCCCAAGGACTCCACAGTTCAACCCTGAGCTACACATATTCGCTTCTATTGGCTGATACTATTCTCAGCAGATGACAGCCCCTGACTGTCCATCTTTGGGATCCAAAGCTAAGCAAGCCTGGTCAGTACTTGGAGGGGACATCACTTGGAAATCTTGATACTGTAGGAGTTCAAAAACTTCCTTGAAGAAAGAAATGTCAAACCATATCCATAATGCTGCCATAATGTTGCATGGAGTGAGTACCAAGTCACCAGGAGCTGAACTCAACTCAGAGGTGACCTTACTTCACTAATGCCACAAATTGCCCACACCTTTAACAAGGCCACAGAGCCGTCCAGCTGCCCCTCCATACTGCCCTAAATCTCAGGCCAATCCGTTCACTCCCACTGGTCCAGTCAGAAAACAAATGCTGCCCATTTTACCACCTTTGGATATTATTACAAGGTGAACATCCAAGGCTGGTAGAAGTGGGAAATATTCCTTAAAGGTAGAACATTTTTTGCCAAGTACACAACTCCATAACTCCTTTCCCTGCCCAACCCCCAACACAGCATTCTCTAGAGTTGGCCTGAGGCCAATTGTAGGTTCTTAGTAGAAGACGAAAATGTGCCGATGTGAAACTCTTCACATAAAGTGAGGCCACTGGTTCAACTGCCCAACAGAATTTGCTCTAGGCACCAACTCCAAGATCTTCAGGCAAGAGGACTTCCCACTTCTGCTGCCAAAGATCCTTTTTAATCAAAGCTGTTAACTATTAATGCTTTTTATAACCACCAAACACATGTCCACTACCTCTGAGCTGCGAGCTCTCCAACATAAGAGTACAAATTAGCAGTGTCCTTAAAATCTGGTGTCACGTTTGGTATCCAAAGAGGAAAGCCCATTGGGTGGCTAATGAATCCATACAGAACAATATGGCACCAAGCCTAGGAAATTGTCCCTGCCACTTATATTCCAAAAATGCCCCGTATCTTCAGGCTCAAAGCGTTCAGGATCTAAAACATAATACCTTCTTTCTGCTCAACCCAAAGCTTCTCCTTCCATTGCTGTTTAACTTACTGAAAAGAAGGGGGTCTGGAATCTCCAATACCTCCAGTTCGCTCAATGGAGGGTGGCAGTTCCGGCTGACTGTCGGCACAGACAGACCCAGCATCCGAATGGGATCCCTCAGCGGACACCAGCTGGAAGAAAAAAGAAGATAGAAAATAAGCCAGCCTGGAGAGGTAAGAAAATCTTCCTTTTGGAAGAGAGGACAAGGCAAGGTTCTTGCAAGATATTGAAGCGATCGTTAGTCTAATGCACATATTCAGTGCACCAAGCAACAAGGATGTAACTCAACCTCTGTAGCTGAGAACAGAATCCCCTGTATTCAGCTCCTGACAAAAGACCCCAAGCGTAATGCATTCGTGAGGGTTCAGCAAAATATTCATTTTCCCAATATTAAAACATACATCTACTAATAGGATTTCCAGGAAAAAAGGAACTTATTTATTTATTTGCTTGTTCGTTCAGTCAGTCAGTCAGTCAGTCAGTCAGTCAGTCAGTCAATCGATTTATATAGCCACCCATCTCAAGGACATGACTCTGGGCAACTCACAACATTAAAATAAAAAATATATATATTATTATTAGATTTTTATCCCGCCTTTTTTATATATAACTCAAGGCAGCAAACATACCTAATATCTATTAAAATAAAATAAATAAAAAATAATTATCATCTGGGAGTAATAAAAAGCAGACCCGATCAAGACAATCCTGCTTAAGATTTCTAGATCCCTTTCAATTGGAGTTTAAGACTAATTTCAGCAATTAAAAAGTTCTGGTCGTCCTGTGGTCACACCTTTGCCTGCAACAAAACAGGGGATGTGCAACCCTACTGATTTTCCTGGACCTCTATACAGCTTTCAACACTACTAATCAAGGTATCTTCTGAAAAGTTCATCTATGGTATAATTTTGCTGTTTTCACTCATATTGGGATGGTCATTTCTAAAAGGTGGTGCTGTAGGATTGCTTATCAACCCTATAATATTGATGCTTTGAGGTCCCACAGTGTTTCATTATTAACCCCCAGGCTAGATAAAATCTGCAAGAATTCCTGAATAAGATCATTCAGAAATTCAAATTTCCATTCCATGATTGTGTTCACACAACATATTGCTGGATGAACCCATTTTCTAGGTTTATACAACATTCTGAATCTTACAGAACTAAACAGGCTGGGTTCACACAAGGAAAACCACAAAATAAAACCAAAATTAACACAAGCCAAACTTAGCATGTTGTGTGAAAACAACTGGCAGGTCTTTACATGACCTGGTGAAGCAAACTGGGTGAAGGTAGACCATAAACATAGCAATGATAATATCTCTCTCATTATTTTCATCAGTTCCAAATCAAACAGTAGAAGTGCTTAATCAATGCCAGCAATGTTAACAGACTGGATGAAAGCCAGTAAACCCACATTCAGTTCAGACAAGATGCTATTACCAAGTACTTGTGCTTTCAATCACTTCTGACATGCCCTTCCCCTTGCATAAAGTCAAGCACATCATTTGGGGGTGTTGCTAGACCCATCTTTGCCTTTAAGAGTCAGGGGTGTCTTCTGCAGAATGGTTTAACCATGGCCTGTTTGAAACAGAAAAGCTATCTCCCACATAGATTATTGTCAGGCAGTTCTTGAACATAGGATAAAAACTTCAAACTGAACACAATCGTCTGGAACTCATTATAGGCCACTGCCAATATCCTTTTCCTAGGTAAAATGTTCAATAACATAGCACTCTTAAAGAACAGTAAAAAGGCAAAAATTGACAAGCAAGAGATGATCTTCCATTAGTGCCACTACTCACAAAGAAGAAAAAGAAAATCAAGATATAAAAATTATGTGTGGTTTATTCCCTGAAAATTAGGAATAAGTGGCAGACTCCACTTTTCTCATATTGATGATTTGAGAGGGCCAATCTGGTTGCAAATGATCTAAGAAGAGTGTGTGTGTGTGTGTGCGCATGCGCACATGTGCATGTGTGTGTGTGTGTGTGTGTGTGTGAGAGAGAGAGAGTGTTTGTGTGTGCATATAATTATTATC